CACAGGACGATGCTGTAATCTCGTACGACGCCAGTGTCCATGATCATCCTGAGCCACGTATATTGTTGATAGAAAAATAGCACTTGGTGTTGATTCCAGACCGGCACACACTCATATCATATAAAACGTGCCATTACATTTATTTAACCTATTTATCCCCCCTCCCAACTTCTCCCCTCATAAAAATGCTGGAGCAGCGGTCTTAGTATTTTTTGTCCGAAACTTAATTAGTCCGTCAACAAGACAGATGAATGAGGGAAGATGTTGTTTTTGACTTGTAATATAGACAACAAACGCGTTGAAGGTCGGCTCCATTTACTACTGTAGATAAGAACCATTCGGGAAGTAGCCCTCGTGCAGCCTCTCCTTAAAAGTCTTGCGTCGAGTTTTTAGTACCTGAAAACACCGGAAGACCAACCAACGTGGTCCTAAAATGCTGTGCATGGAAGATTCAATTTCCACTCAACCTCCTCTGTTAGCCCGCAATAAATATCACCATTGCTTTTGTCGAGACGTCTCTTGCTCGATGCATGCTCACTCAATGAATACCGGGGCGCCGGTAGGTTTTTCGTTTCTTGTCGGATCACTGCTACTCAATCTTTTTCAGTCGCCCCTCCTTTTTACTACCTGCTTCTTTGACAGTGATTTTGATTGTTTCTTTCGCGGATTTCTAGAAGACCATGTTAGAATGGCCCTATGAAGCCCACGGGAGAAGAAATTACGAAAGGGTTTTCAGCTCCGACCATAGTAAACCTCAAACAACCTAAGTCACTTCACGGTAGCTGTGGTGGGGTAGAAGGGACTCAGAATACTCCTTCAAGTTACTCTTTTTTATGCAACTATCAGGCGATCTCGCGTTTTAGAAACTACTCGGCCGGCACAGTTGCTAGCACTAAGAGCATTGCTGCGCCTTAGGAGGCGGCCATGTGACGTCCACTTAGAGGGAACTGGGCCTCAGTTTAGCTCTGTTGAGTCTGCGAAACTTACAACTTCCTATATGGTATGTTGGTGTGCCCCATACACAAGTTTATTGGGCGGGTAACATCGATCCAAGTGTGATTAAACTCACGGTGTGAAGCGCG